AGATTTGCTTGGATGATCGTGACCGTCAACACAATGAAGTGACTTCTAGGTTTGATCGTCGTCTTGAGGCTATTGATCTCAAATTGACAAATATGGGAAGGCCTACTGTGAAGACGGTGCAGGGTGCTCAAGCTTTTGATTTAGTCCTGATCGTGTAGGAGCTCAACAGGTTATTGGTAGTAATAACGACTTGAGGAGTCCTTATGATAGGCATGTTACGTTGAGAAAACGTACTGGCTCTGCCTTTAGCTTGAATGGTAATGGAGAGCCTATTGGTCGTGATGTAGGTCGTAGCAGTCATGACCAAGGTCTTCCTGTGGCGCCGAATGCTACCTCTGATTATGGTATGCCTTTGTACGAGCAGGAGAGTCCGACCTTTTCCTTCAACCCCGTTGGTTCTGGTGGTGGGTCTAAGGCAACTACAGAGCAAGGGGCTGGGTATGTGCAGGGTAAGGCCTTTAATTCGGAAATGCCCAATGGTTCGCTGGGTGATCCTCGAAAGGTGTGGCACTATGATTATAGTGACCCTAGTAGAGGCCGAATCTACTCTAGCAATGGTCCTGAACGTCACCAAGAACGAGTAATGGCACCTGATGCCCTTGAAGGTGGTAGGAAAGGCCAGAGTACCACTGTGGGTACTGCTGGGACCTACCATGGTAACCTGGAGTCATTTCCAATGACCCCAAGTGTTGCTGGCCAGATAGGGGAACCTTACGGTAGAACTCCTCCCTATGGGGAGAGAGTAACACTGTGTAGGCAACCTGATGGCAATTTTAAGATGGTTCAAGAAGATTATCCGCTAGCCTTCAATGATGGAAGGCCTAGAGGGGGTGATAATGACTCTATCAACTCTCGTATAGTGAGTCAGGTGGAGTCAGTATTGTCTGAAAATCTGAAGACCATCGCCCCTACTAATGCTAAGAAGGCCCAAATTCGTTTGAATATGGGTTATCGTATGCCACGGTATGGATACTTGAAGTCCTTCTGGTTACTGCCTCCTCAGTGGCAGAAGGAGAGACCTGCTGACTTACCTATTGGTTCTGATGATTTGGCTATTAATGAAGCTCAATTAGAGTTTGTTAAGCACCGAGTGACTCAGGCCTCTGAGAAGCT